GGTGCGGGCAGACAGACCTCCGGCCAAGGTCCCACACGCAGACGGTCAAAATGCTGAGTAAGAGTGGTTTCGGAACTCACAGGGCGTACAGCGATGCCGGGGATGAGGGATAAAACACACGGGGTTACGCAGGTATAAAATCAATGGATATACACTTGATTTCCTGGCTCCTTCTGGCAAGAAGGGGGAACCCGGGCTAGGGCTGGCGGCCTTACCGCACGGTGGGGAAGCGGATCAGCCTGGCTTTGGAGTGCTCCGAGATCACATTCCTCGTGTGTGATCAACCCTTAAATTTCCAACGGAAAGGAATCGGAAAATTTTATAACTTAAAATTTCATAACTTTCATAACTTAAGACCAGGCATTTCCCCCTGCTGTGGCAACTTTTAAAGCAATTTCTCCTGCAAAATTTCTCAAACTTATCCACTACAGCCTTGTCCAGGATGGCAACAACCCACCCTTTTCAGGCCAAGCGCGGGGCAGTAGCCCTTCAATTATGTGCAGGCTGCTTTGCCCCAGCCCCATCTGATTCCCTGATCTCCACTGGACGGGATGGGTATAAGAGCTCTGTTTTAATTGCGAGCAACTACTTTTGTGCCTTAAGTCCTTGTTGCCCGAGGTGACCAGTAACAACAGTGCAGAAGTAGCCAGGCAAAGCAGGAGGCCTTGGCCTTGCTGGCTTGAGGTTAGCAAGCTCGTGTCTCGGTCGTTAAGTAGTTTAAAGATGCAGAATAAACTCTGCTGGAGATGACTCAAGTGCTCTCTCTCTCTTCAGCTGTCACCATCCTGGCCTTTGTGCTGTGCTGGCTCCCGTTCCACATCGGCCGAGTCCTCTTTGCCCGGAGCGGAAGCATCCTGCACGACCTCGCGCAGTACTTCACCTCATCGCCATGCTTCTCTTCCATCTCGGGGCTTCTATAAACCCCAGCCTTTACAACGTCACGTCGCACAAATACAGGAAAGCCATGAGCAAAATCCTGTGCCGCGGGCGAACGTGGTGCTGCACAAGTCTCAGCAGGAGCAAAAACATTTCTTCTGAATGTACAGAACTCGGTTCTTTTAAGTCAATGGCTCAGCACTGACTTAATTCTCACAACACAAGCGTGTTGCCAGCTGTGTTGCAGGTTAAAACCTGGGCAGACAGCACATACAGAGACTAGAATAAATTTAAAGCTGTGCTTCTGGCTTACCTCTCATTCTGTGTTTCCCAAGGTAGGTTTGGAACATTTTCGGAAGGTTGGAGTCAATTCACAGCTGGGCTCTTCTCTCAGTGAACTCGCCAGCTACAGTGTCAGGTTTAACAGTCCACAAAGCTCCCGTGAAGGGATTCATCTCCGTTTTTGGAGCCCAGACCTGTGAAACACAATTCAAGTTACTTTCTTCCCACAGAAGTCAAAGAGAGACAAAGCAGAGGTTAAAGCCAGGCCGGCTCTCTGGTCTCACCAAGAAGGAACCTCTAAGGTTCCTGGAAGTGGTGAGAAATTCCTCATTTTGTGGGACTAGGGACACACCGCCTTCTGCCTAAAGGTCGATTTATTTCTGGAAGAAAAGTGAAGAAGAGCTCATAATGAACACGTGGTAACAACGCTGAACGTGTTTCTTCACCTTAAACCGCCCACAACACAAACGACCGCTCCCTGGGAAACTTCAAATCCACAAAACGACACGACAACCCTGCAGTCAAATTTTGAATACATTTGTATTATTTATTGGCTGTATTAAATATATTATCTATTTGATAGTTACAATTTAGTAATACAATGCATGGCAGATTTAACATAAGGTTGAGATACCTCAAAAAAATGACAATACAAGAAAAACTGAAGATACCTAATACATTAATGCCACTAGGGTGCAGGGTTCTGGAATGGCTGAGAGATGCCGCTGCGAGATGTGCGCTGCAGCACGCTGTCCTGGGCGTTGCCTGGGAACGAGAACAGGTTGTGGTAATTCCCAGAGGACTCCCTTTTGCTTTTTAGGAGCCGTGACTCGTTAGTATTTACTCTGCAACCCTAATTTGCCTTTATAAAATTGTCAGAAATATTCTTGCCAGATAAACCTCGACAAAACTCCACTGGAAGAGTTAAAGAACTAACCCTTTGGCAACAGAGATTTGCTGAAGGCAGTCTTATTTGCTAAAAGTAGACTATGGGAAGAAATAAAGACAGGCTGTAAACTCTTCTGCAAACTAAAGACTAATATCTGTATAAAACTCTTTCCAACACTGGAGGGAGAGACTTCTATGATATAATAATAAATGATTAACTTAAAGTTCTGCTACAAGTAGAACAATACATTCAAACATACATTTTCCAGGACTTTTAATCAAAATAAATAGAGTACAAAATGAAGAGTACATTTTGAAAAAAAGATTAATTTCAGATTGCACCATAAATCTACTTTGAAGAGTATTAAGCGATACTATGTCATAATTTACGTTCCCCACATCTGAAACACAACACAACGCCTCGAACTCTAACGCAACATTATTTGCCAACGGCCATGGGAGAAAGACCCTTAAAGTGATTAATTACTGGAAACACTCAGCCTGTAGCACTATCACATCCGAAACCCCACATACAGGTGCGTTGCTCCGATGGACACAAAGACGCTAAATCTACCTTTCGGCACCTTCCAAACGTTGTTGGGAAGACCCGTTTCCGAAACGCATTTGACTCTCAGGAGTTCCGGCGTCGGAAACGCCTGATGTTAGACGCCGGCAGCCGTCGGGCTCGTCTCTAGGCACTCACGTGCGGATTTCCCAAGAACAGTCGTGTGTAGTGCACAAGTGTCCACAAAAAAAACACCCCCAGGACAAACAGGACGAGTTTCAGAAAAAGTTCATAGCGGGCCGAACATTCCCATCTAGAAACCAATGGAATGTGAAGCTGCTACCGCTGGGATAGCGAGTCATTTAAAATGTCGTACAAATGTTATCTAAAAAGAGTTCTTTCACGTACAATTTGGTAATTCGGGTTAAGTTAGAAGGGTGTCCAAAAGCAGTCTGAACTTTTTATTTTTTTAGGTTAATAATAGTACAAAAAACATTTGCTCAGTTTGAGCCAAATAGTGTAACATTTATCATAAATGCACTCTTTTCTCCTTAAAGACAATACCTGTGCTTTTTCTGAAAATGCTGCAAAGATTGAATCAGAAGCACAGGAAATTACTTTTCTCTCAGGCACTGAGAGTGAAACATGGATGGGGCCAACAGCTGCTCACCAACAGCAGAAAGCATTTCATTCAGAAATGTACAATACACACACACACACACAAAAAAAAAGGGCCTTTTTCTGCAGTGTGACGCCAGTGCCCGGGCGGGCGTCCACCGCGTCGTGCCAACGGCTCGTCTGGCGTTCCGGTTCCAAGTCTAAAAACGCCGGCACCCTCCGCTTTAACGCTTGAAATGATTATTACTGAATCCGAAGTATTAAAAATAACGGTAAAGTAGTAATGTCACTAAGCCAATATTCTGCTTTCCTTCTACAGTCTAGTAAATGTGGTATGCTCTAGCAACGTCTGCAATAACAGTACTGCTCGAAGCTGAAGCGCCTGTGCTGCCGCGTCTCACGAATGCCAAAACCTACGACGAAACTTGATTAAACACCGCACGTCGACTGCCGCTGCTCTAGCTGTACTCGAGGAAAGGACTCGCTCTATCAACGCCTTCTCCCCCTCAAACTGGCCCAAGGGCCTCTGCTTTGAATGTGGAGAGAGGGAGAGCTGCTTTGAATGTGGAGAGAGGAAGAGCTTGCACAGCCCCGCATGCGCACGGTAAGGCAGTGACTTTTGTGGTTTTTTCTCTTTTGTTAACAGCTCACCCTGATTACAGAGGACCCAGGATCACCCCTTCTACAAGAAATCTGCGTTCGGTATTCGGAAAGGATCTGCCAACCAACCCAGCCTCGCTGTCAGCCAGCAGCAAAAGCGGAGATGCGCGTAACCACGCGTTCCCAGATAGGATTTTCATTAGAACTAACCATAAATACCCAGAAATAGCTCCTGTACAAAAAGCTGAGCACTGAACCGGCTCCTGCCTACTTGATCACGAAGTACTGAATGACAACGGCGAATAAAATAGCGACCACTGCGAACCCGCAGAGAAGGACGACGGCGATGAAGCGCTCTTCGCGCAATGTTTTCTTTGTCTCCGCCAGCTCCGTGGCGGGATCGGCGCAGGGCGGGAGCAGCTCCTGTCTGTGAGATGAGAACACCGTGCTGGGGCTGTACGGTCCAAACAGTTCCTGGGAGCCCGCGGCGTCCTGGGACTGACGGCCAGCGCAGACCCTGACGCGATATTCACAGTTTGTCTGCAGGCTGGTGAGGCGAAAGGAGGTCTCTGGTCCCTTGTACACCTAAGTCAGGAGAAGAAAAGAGAGAGAACCCTTTGATGTGGGGTTCACTTTACAGCAGTGCTGCACGCTGCCCAAAATCGTTACGAAATCTCAGCTTTTATTTCTGACGAATTTATGATTCGTTTTCTGAAGAATGAGCCAAAGCCACCTGCTACATCCCACGCTGACGGACCTGGATTGTGAAGCTCAGGAAAAAAACCAAAACAAAACAAAACACCAAAATCTTTCTGTGCAACTACCACTCCGTACAGCTCCCCTACAAATGTGGGGCAAGTGCTGTCTACAGCTCCCAAAGACCGTAAGATTTAAGAATCAGAAGAGCCAAGGGAAATGCTGGGAGAGCAGGATCTAAAGAGTGTCAATCCACTTCTGGATACCCAGCTCTCCCACATGACTTCTGAGCCTGCCTTCACTGCCTCGTGCTTTTAAAGAACAAGCAAAGGGTCATCAGGGAAACGCCACTTCATGATCTTTAACGTGGCGCAACCTTTGATGCTGGACTCTGCTCTGAAATCTGACATCGTAAACTTAAAAGTCTTGTTGAAAGAACTGACCGAGATGTAAAATGAAGCACCCTGGAAGCAAGGCTTGCAAGCTGAGTCTCTTGCTAACATGAAAAGCATCCCTGCTCACCAAACAACATTCCAACCTTCACATACAGACAGATTTTCTTGCAATAATTTTTCAAAGTAAAAAAACCCCTCAAGTTAGTTACGTTAAATAAGAAGTACCTGATCAAACTCTCTCCCAGCAGCAAGCTGAAGGATGTAAACAATGGAATCTCCTTTCATGGGCTGCAGAGGTTCCCAGCTGATTTCGTAAGTGTTTTCTTCCAGCTGATTCGCTTTGGGTGCTGGAAGAATAAAAACGATTTGTTGGCATTTTAGGAAAAGAAAACAATCAATCCAAAATCACCCGTTATTACAGTGACTCGTTTTTTACAGCTAATGGAGCAAATGGGCACGGGTTTCAGCGACAAGGAAGTTTTCTCACACTGACTTAAAGTGTGCTTTGCTTTCCTACTTTCTCCACCAAAAATGTTTCAGTTCTAATGCAAGTGTAAATCTAAAAGCTTGAGGTTTTTCCAATATATTTGTTAACAGTGTAAAGATAACCACCATTCTTAGAGGTAACAGTCCTTCAAATAATGTTAAGCAAAGAAGATCTGTTTCATTTCTGTTGGTTCTTTTTGCTGTGTTTCCTGACAACAGCTTTCATATTTGCAGGTTATGCTTTTCTTTTCAAGCTGACAAGATGACCTTCTGACCTCTAATGCTTGCGCAGGTGAGCAAGCGCTTTCAAATCCCTAGAGAAACCAGCCTTTATGTCCGTGCATCTCCTGAGCCGAAATGACACGTTGTAAACTGACTCAATTAATCGTCCTGCAGGCAATTAGTGTTCTGACCTCCAGAATGACTTTACGGTCAATCTGTGACGTTCACGTTAGAAAGCAAAGATCAGAGGAATTACTTGTGTTCTCATTTGCCTACGCGCTGGTGTAACTAACTTCTATCAAACGAGAGAAAATCCTGAAAAATGACATTCCAGTTGAAAAGGAGCAGAAGAAATCCTCGCTGTCTGGGGTGCGAGAGCTACAGGAGATGGCCCCGCACCAAGAGAGCTCTTCCCATCCCAAGAGAAAGCCCCTCACAGCCAGCTTCTGGTCTCTGTCCCCCAAAGACCTGGGGAAAGATGTCAGGTTGTAGCCATCAATCTAGTAAGTTCTCGGGCAGCAGAACCTCACCTTTGAGAGAGGCGGGTGGAGACTTGGTTGTAGTGAAAGCGTAAACTTCAGAAAACCTTCCCTCTCCAGCATCGTTGTATGCCTGGATCTTAAAACAGTACGTAGTGGACTCACTGAGGCGCTGTACCTTGTACGTGTGACAAGGGCCGTTATAAATGGTAACAAACCTGGGAAGGACCACAAAATACACACAAAGATCAGAACCATCCCGGCCATCGCAAATGTGTACGTTGGTATCGTTAAGCGGAACGCTTTCTCACCCCAGTAACAAAAACGGGACAGTATGTTCCTTAACGTTCCAGTTATCTTACCTGCCAAACCTGTCCTCCATCTGCAAGTTGAACTGTGTAGGGTTGGTGATTAAAGCTCTGCTGGGACCGTCACCCCATTTCAGTTTAAGGCTCTGGTAGCTGAAGACCACGCATTCGAGGTGAGGAGGCTCAGGAGGTAGTGGTTTTGTTTTGGCTTTAATGGAATGACTGAAAGGACCAACTCCAAAGCTGTTTATGGCCTGTATTCTAATCCTAAGAAACACAATAAAAGCAGCTCTGTGGTTAATTTGCTAAAAAAATGCTAAGTGATAAAGCAAGAGTTAAAATTTGTAAAGAAGAATGTAACTCCAAACAATAAAGCGATTAAAACACAGTGCAAATTAACTACAAAAATAATCTCCTTCAAAACAAGGCAACGTAATTACATTGTTTTCAGCATAATGAAGCTTCAGGGTTTCTCAGCATTGTTCAGGTTCGTTCTGTTCAGTGACTGCGCGCCCGCGTCCTCCACGTTAAGCCGAGCCCTTCACCTCCCACCAGCGCTGAAAACCCACGACCTGAACTAAGCCTAAACCAAGATTAAATGTGCAGCGTGGGAGAGGCTACTCTCTCTTTTGGTAAGATACCGACCAGCCTGTTACTGCACTGCTTCAGAATAAAAAGATTCCAAACACAGAGAATTCCCATAAAGCCTCGGCCATGAGACAGCACGTTAATTTTCACTCAGCAAGCTTAACTCTTGTCACCAGAACATCGCGGCTTGATTCTGGACATGACAATTCCGGTTCATTTGGGTTTTTTTTTCTGCAGAGCGAATAAAGCCAACAGCTGAATGAAAAATTACTCTCAAAAATTCAAAACGCTACCCTCAAAGCTATTGATCGAAAAACCTACAAATATGCTTTACGAGGAAAATGATTTGTTGTCACCTGTACAGAGTGTCAGGCAGCAGATTCTCAAGAACATGGCTTGTGTTTCTTCCAACAGTGACAAGCTGCTTTTCCCCATAGTCTATGTTATATCCAGTGATCTCTGCCCCGTGACAGCACGGTTCTTCCCACTGAAGGGCAAGGCACGTTGATAAAGGAAGAGAAACTTCCATCTGATCTTCTTCGAGTAGCTGCAGCACGGACACTGCTGCAGGCACTGACGCAGGGGTTGTCACCACGCTGGTCTCCCCAAACAACCCCACTCCAGCGACGTTCACAGCCTGAAAGAGAGACCCCGCAATCTTTAACCCAATCCACACTGTTTCTAACTGGGTGGTCGCACCCATCGCACTAAAATAAAATGGGAAGCGTCCCATGTAAAACGTTAATGTGGGAAAACCTCTGATATTTCACACGATATCAGCTCTAAATTTAATTTTTA